TAAAAAAACACATAAATTCAAACATTTAACATACACACTTTATGTAATCTATCAACCAGTATCTTATATCCCTTTCTTCTGGACCACAAAAAGTAAGACTTGTTCAGAAAACCAGCGACTGGCCCTTTCTCACAACACACCGAGGGTGCAGGGGCATCGCATGCCTCGCGTCCGCCAGCCGGCAGAGCACCCTCTGAAACACTTCTGGGGAGAGCGTGATAATATTAAAAAAAATAAATAAAAATCTATTTGAGAAAAGCAGATGTGAACTGCACCTAAACGTGACATGAAGGGGGATCTCTGCTGCACAACCCCGGACTGGCAGGGACCAGGCTCGGAGGTGGGATTGACCAGGCCCCTGACCACAGCCAAAGTCAACGGGAGCATTTCCCATCTATTTTGTTAGAGCCAAAACCCCCCAATTTCTCCTCCTTCTTATTCAAGGGCCCGAAGGCAAAAAGAGTGAGAGCAGAAACCCCATGGCTCCATTTGCTAAGTCAAAAAGGTGAGGAGAGGCTGGGCTCTCTCTTGAAGATTTGAGCCACAAATCTTCACGCCCAGGTAGCCACAGAGAGGAGCAAACTCCGCTCTCAGCCACACAAGTGCTGTTTATTAAGGACAGGGGAAACCAGCACCGCTCCTCTTGAGGTCAGAGATTTTCTTTTCGTATTGCTCAGTATCTTTCAGTACAGGCAGGGAAACTGCACTGCAGAAAAAGCACTCTAATTAATGAAAATCCTCTGATTAAACTTTTTAACACCCATAATCATGGAAGTCTTGCTGGTTCTCCTGAACCTGTGCATTTTTCTCTGTTAGCCTGAAAGTATAAAATGGCATTTTTTCCAGCTAGAAATACCTTCAGGGAGCTATGAAGCCAAACCCCAATTATAAACCTACCTACCACAAAGAAATCGGTTTTGTCCAAAAAGGGAAAAAAGCAGCATTACAGAAATGCTGAGGCTAAATCCAGCATGGCAATTATTTCAGTTCTGAAATAGGCTTAGCATAATCAAAGCAGCATTTTTAAGAACTTATTTCAAAATTAAAGTGAACCCCATCTATTCAAACAGGACATAGGCAGGCAAAAAGCAGAAACAAATGAAAGAAGGGCAAAGAAGGGTAAAGCGGTAACTGCCGTACAGCTCAGCTTTGATAACCTGACAAAGAACAGAGACAAATCCAAAGAAAACACTGAACGGGGAATATTTCACCTCTCATTTCCCCTTCTGTAGTTTTAACATCGCAGGAAC